CATGAGCCGGAGTTGGTATGGCTGTGGGCGAGCGTGAATGAGTCAAAGCGTGAGTGGGTCTGACTTTGAGTGGGTCCCAGAGGGACGAATGTGACTGTGAGGCGAAGGCACCCCAGTAACAACAATAATCACATACTTCCCCAAGCAGTCTTTCATTTAGGAGATCTCACTTCAGGCCAAAAGGACTGGGCCTGTCTATCGGTCTGGCGGCTATGTTGTCGCCGTCGCCAACCCGTCGCCTCTTCGCCCCCCGTATTCTGGGCCTGTCTGTTGGTCTTGCGGCTATGTTGCCGCCGTCGACGCCCCGTTGCCGCCTCGTCGCGGCCCTAGGTTCTCTTTCCTACAAGAATACTGGGATCTCCCCCCTCCCGGATTTAACCGCTCACCTTTCCAGGCTGCACTATACACACGAATATGCCGCATCGCCGATCCTAAACATGATGTCATGTTATGCCAGGCTGGCCGGCAACGCTCCCCCCTCCTCCGCTGTTGTTTCTCAAAAGTCGTAGGTGCTCAAAACCCCTTGCAAAAAAACTGGACGAAACGCACATGCGCGCGTCATCGCGCGCGCATGCCGGAATCCTTCAACAAATAAACTAGGTTGCGTAAGGATGTAAAAGTCGAGTGCCCCAAAAACATAAAAAAAAAAAAAAAAAAACATGGTCGGTCCACGAAACCAGAAACATAATATAGACATGTAAGGCATGGCCACGGTTTTCAAAAGCATCTGCTTGGGCGACGGGCAAATGCAATGCTGAAGATATCGATCTTGATGTACCGTGCCGAGGGCTGTGCGGTGCTGCGCCGTGCTGAATTGCGATGTGCCATGCCGCGATTGTGTTCCTTAGCGTCGTGGATCGAGTCCTCCTTTGCATCCGAGTCCTGGCCGAACTGATCTGGATCGTAAGCCCGAGCTGCCTGAGCACATATTAGCTGCCCCAGGGCTAATTCACAGGGGGATATGTCAGGAGGACGCGCCGCGGATCGTCCCAAGGGACGCGCCAGGCCACGTGCCAGGGGACGTGCCATAAGGACGCACCGCGGGACGTGCCAAGGGGACGCGCTACGGAACGTGCCAAGGGACGCGCCGCGCGACGTGCCAGGGGAACTCGCCACGGGACGCGCCACGGAACGTGCCAGGTTGCAATGCTGAACGTATCGATCTTGTTGTACCGTGCCGAAGGCTGTGCTGTGCTGCGCCGTGCTGAATTGCGATGTGCCATGCCGCGATTGTGCTCTTTAGCGTTGTGGATCGAGTCCTTCTTTGCATCCGAGTCCTGGCCGAACTGATCTGGATCTTAAGCCCGAGCTGCCTGAGCACATGGTACCTGCCCCAGGGCTAATTCACAGGGGGGCATGTCAGGAGGACGGGCCGCGGATCGTCCCAAAGGACGCGCCAGGCGACGTGCCACGGGACGTGCCATCAGGGCGCACCGCGGGACGTGCCAAGGGGACGCGCTACGGAACGTGCTGGGGACAAGCGTGCGCTCGAGACATCCTGCCCAAACCCTCATGCTAGACATCCGCCTGGACGACCTGGGCACGTGAAAACACGCGTTTCGCTCAACACATCCCCAACACATCCTCATGCTAGACATCCGCCTGGGCGACCTGGACACGTGAAAACAAATGGTTCGCGCCTAGGTGGCCTGGGCACGTGCAAACAAGCGTTTCGCTCGAGACGTTCTCAACAATTCTTTATGCTAGACATTTCCCTGGGCGACCTGGACACGTGAAAGTAAACGACTCGCTCGAGACATCCTCAGCACACCTTCATGTTAGACATCCGCCCGTGCGACCTAGACACGTGAAAACGAGTGCCCCGCTCAAAGCATTATCAACCTATCTTCATGCTAGACATCCGCCTGGGCAACCTGGACACGTGCAAACAAGCGTCTCGATCGAGACTTCCTCAACACATCCTCATGCTTGACATCCGCCTGGGCGACCTGAACGCGTGAAAACAAGCGTCTCGCTCGAGACATCCTCATCAACTCCTCATGCTAGACATCTACCTGGGCAACCTGGACGAGTGAAACCAAGCGTCTCGCTCGAGACATCCTGAGCACCTGGGCACGTGAAAACAAGCACTCACTTGAGAGATCCTGCGGATTCTAGTCCCCAGGAGAGGGCAACCTATAACACAAAACAAGCGTTTCGCGCGAGACCTCCTCAACAATTTCTGCAAAACAAGCGTTTCGCCCGGGGCATCATCAACAAAATATTCACTGCGTGGAGCTCCCCATATGTGCATCTATTCGCATGGACCTGTCCGCCGTGAATGTCTAGGCGCAAGAGCTTTCGAATATAAACGGGCTTCAGTTGTGACGGTCTGGACATAAATCTAACTGCGAATGAATTGGAGTGTGAATGAGCCTCAGTAGTACGAGCGCGTCTCTGTTCATGAGCCTGGGGCATCCTGGGGCCTCCTGAAACCTACTGGGGCTTCCTGGGGTCTCCAGGAGCCTCTTGGGGCCTCCTGGGACCTCCTAGGGAGGTTTCGTGCCCAAGGAGAGGCGCAATATATATATATATATATATATATATATCAACAGACGGGCCTCTCGGGGCCTCCTGTTGCCTTCCGAGGCCTCCTGGCGCTTCCTGTTGCCTCTTGGGGCATCCTGTGGTTTCCTGAGGCCTTCTGGAGCTTCCTGGGGCCTCCTGGAGCCTCTTGGGACATCCTGTGGCCTCTTGAGTCTTTATGTGGCCTCCTGATGCCTCCTGGGACCTCATGTGGTCTCCTGGGGCCTCCTGGAGCCTGTTGGAGCCTCCTGTGGCATCCTGAGAAGAATCTGCGCCCACGAGCCTGGCCACCAAAACAAGCAAACGATCGAGACATCCGATCGAGACATCCTCAAAATCTGGCCCACCTGGGGGGTGAAAATGAGCGCCTCGCTCGAGACATCCTCCAAATCTGCTCCGAAAGCGAAGGATGTTGGCACAGAAAACATGCAAACCGCTCGAGGCATCCCCACAAAATCCTGCGAAAGGGGCCGAGTCAAGCACCCCCCCGCCGCTCCCCTCAGGGACGTGAAAATGAGCGCCTCGCTCGAGGCATCCTCCAAATCTGCTCCGAAAGCGAAGGATGCTGGCACAGAAAACAGGCAAACCGCTCGAGACATCCCCACAAAATCCTGCGAAAGGGGCCGAGTGAAACACCCCCCCGCCGCTCCCCTTGGGAGTGCTGAAGCCACAGAATCGCCTGAGACATCCTCAACATCAGTGTGTGTGAGTCATCCGATGAGTGGACCTGAGTGAGTGTGGTGAATGTATGAGTACAAGTACGAGTGAGTCTGAGTGATGAGTGAGTCTGAGTGATGAGTGAGTCTGAGTGATGAGTGAGTCTGAGTGATGAGTGATGAGTCTGAGTCATGACTGAGTCCGAGTGATGAGTGAGTCTGAGTGATGAGTGAGTCTGAGTGATGAGTGGGTCTGAGTGATGAGTGAGTATGAGTGATGAGCCCGTAGGTCTGAGTGAGAGGAGTGGTGTGTTCTCTCTCGTTCTCTCCTCCGGCGCGGTCCGCCAATTATTCACTGCGTGGAGCTCCCCATATGTGCATCTATTCGCATGGACCTGTCCGCCGTGAATGTCTAGGCGCAGGAGCTTTCGAATATAAACGGGCTTCAGTTGTGACGGTCTGGACATAAATCTAACTGCGAATGAATTGGAGTGTGAATGAGCCTCAGTAGTACGAGCGCGTCTCTGTTCATGAGCCTGGGGCCTCCTGGGGCCTCCTGAAACCTACTGGGGCTTCCTGGGGTCTCCAGGAGCCTCTTGGGGCCTCCTGGGACCTCCTAGGGAGGTTTCGTGCCCCAGGAGAGGCGCAATCTATAGCAACAGACGTACATAAAACATTGCGGATTAGAGCCACAGGAGAAGGGCAATCTATAGGAACACGCGTAAAACACCAAGGACTCGTGCCCCAGGAGAGGCCCAATATATAGGAACATAAGTAAAACATGTAGGATTGTGTACACAGGAGAAGGACAATCTATAGAAACATACGTATAACATCAAAGAATCGTGCTCCAGGTGAGGCCCAATCGATAGGAGCATACGTAAAACACATGGGATTGGAGCCACTCCTGTTGCCTTCTGAGGCCTCCTGCTCCTGGGGCCTCTCGGGGCCTCCTGTTGCCTTCCGAGGCCTCCTGGCGCTTCCTGTTGCCTCCTGGGGCCTCCTGTGGTTTCCTGAGGCCTTCTGGAGCTTCCTGGGGCCTCCTGGAGCCTCTTGGGACATCCTGTGGCCTCTTGAGTCTTTCTGTGGCCTCCTGATGCCTCCTGGGACCTCATGTGGTCTCCTGGGGCCTCCTGGAGCCTGTTGGAGCCTCCTGTGGCATCCTGAGAAGAATCTGCGCCCACGAGCCTGGCCATCAAAACAAGCAAACCGAGCGAGACGTCCTCAAAATCTGGCCCACCTGGGGGGTGAAAATGAGCGCCTCGCTCGAGACATCCTCCAAATCTGCTCCGAAAGCGAAGGATGTTGGCACAGAAAACAGGCAAACCGCTCGAGGCATCCCTACAAAATCCTGCGAAAGGGGCCGAGTGAAACACCCCCCGCCGCTCCCCTTAGGAACGTGAAAATGAGCGCCTCACTCGAGACATCCTCCAAATCTGCTCCGAAAGCAAAGGATGCTGGCACAGAAAACAGGCAAACCGCTCGAGACATCCCCACAAAATCCTGCGAAAGGGGCCGAGTGAAACACCCCCCCGCCGCTCCCCTTAGGAGTGCTGAAGCCACAGAATCGCCTGAGACATCCTCAACATCAGTGTGCGTGAGTCATCCGATGAGTGGACCTGAGTGAGTGTAGTGAATGTATGAGTACAAGTACGAGTGAGTCTGAGTGATGATTGAGTCTGAGTGATGAGTGAGTCTGAGTGATGAGTGAGTCTGAGTGATGAGTGATGAGTCTGAGTCATGACTGAGTCCGAGTGATGGGTGAGTCTGAGTGATGAGTGGGTCTGAGTGATGAGTGAGTCTGAGTGATGAGTGAGTGGGTCTGAGTGAGAGGAGTGGTGTGTTCTTCCTCTCTCGTTCTCTCCTCCGGCGCGGTCTTGCACAACGGCAGATGATGCCCAGCGTGGTCGTGGCTGGCGGGGGAGGCCAGCTGGGGCTCGAGGCCAGCCAGGGGGTGGGGGCGGGAGGCGGGGGGAGAGGGGAGGAGCCCTCGCTCCGTGTGCAGCAGGGGGCGCCCTCTGCAGCTGCCGAAGCACGAGCGGCCTGCCCTGCTTCTCAGTGGGGTTGGATCCGTGCCGAGCGGGACCCGCCCGCCGGCCAGACCCACGAGGGGCACCGTGCGGCCGCGAGGGGCTTCTGGAAGCCCGCCAGAATGCACCCCATTAGCCCGTGGCCCCTCGTCCCTCCCAGCTCCTCGTCCCCCCCCACTCTTGGACGCCCTTTGGGAGCGAATCAGTGCGAAACGAAACGAAAAGCCAAGCGCCAGAGCGCGTAGGCAAAATGATGCAATGCCAGCCAAACCTCACCGCTTTGCGGGAGTGGCTGCACGTCGGCCGTCTCTTGTTGTCTGCTAATCGGCGCGCGTCAGTGGGGGGGCGACCAATTGGGGGGGGGCAGCGAGGGCTGCAGAAAAGGGGCCCGTTGAGGGCCCCTACAGGGGCCCTTCGGGGCCCAGACGGGGCCCCTTTAGGGCCCGAGGAGGGCACCGTTCTTCCCCCCCTCATTTGTCGCCACCCCCATGACTTCGCGCCCAAACCCCCGACATAAGAAATGCGTCTGGAAAGTGAGATCGGACCCAGGGAAGGGGTCGGGGCTTCCCCGGGACGCCGCACTGAAACAACCGAGGCGACGGAGGTCTGCCAGACCCGAAGACGGCAGAACCTGCCGGCGACGAATGCGCGGCCTCGACCGACGCGAGGAGGGCGAGGAGAGGGAGGAGGAGTACTTACGCAGGACGAAAGATTTTCCTCTTGAGGTGAAAATGGCCATGAGGAGTTCGCGAGACAACGTCGGCGCCGCCGAACGGACGGCGACCGGACGAGCTGTTTGCAGCAACTGGAGGGGATGTATGTATGTATGTATTCATGTTGACTGGAGCCCGCTCGCGCGGGGAGTTGATGGGAGTGCTCGAGACGACGCAGGGTGCGCTCACCTCGGTGGGGGACATCTCGAGCGGGCTTGTGAGTAAGCCTCCGTCTCCAGCGGATGCCTTGAGCGGAGATGGACCGGGTATGGCTTTCCCTCCGAGAAGCACTTCGCAGCATGCCCGCTGTCCAGGACCAGCTTCCAGGCGTCGGAGGGAGACCGGGGCAGCTCCACCAGCGCGCCGATCGGCGTTTGGTACGACTGCTCCCTGCCGCTCCGAGGCTCTGAGGTGCCATGGCGGGGCCTTTCGGAGAAGAGGCAGCTGCACAACCCTTAAACCTTCGGGGCTCCGCGCGGATCCTCTGCGCTGGCCTTCCCTGGCGGCGCTTCTGGCGCCGCCCGTTGCGCGCTCTGCGCGCCAGGGAGGGGGGCCTAACGCGAAGCCAAGACATCCGCGCGGAGCGCTGAAAGTTGACAGCCGTCGTCCTACCATAGGGAACGCTGAACAAGGAACGAAAGGGCTTACAGTGAAGTCCAGTCTACAAGAAACCTTCCACAAGCAACCCAACCCGAAGACCCCAGGACGTCCATTGATGCTTGGGGGTGGGAACGTCGCGCTTTCCACAGCAAAACTCTCGAAACCCAAGAAACCCAGGGCACCCTGGAGGCAAGCAGGGTGTTTCTTGGCAGGGGCCTCCACTGTGCCACTGGGAACGCCGAGTAGGGAACGAAGGGGCTTCCCTGGGCCGGGCGAGGCTCGGGCACGCAGGGGCTCCCCGACCTATAGATCCGAGGCGCAGCCTGCCCAGGGTACAATGCAATACAACTCTCTGGCGCAATACATTTGCAATACAACTGCCCCAAACCTCTTGCACCACCCCCTTTCAGCTGGACCCCACTTTGGGTCAACCAGAGAGTGGCCATCGTCTCGAAGAACCAAGTCATGGCACGAACATCAACAAGACCAACCGCGGGGCCTGTCCTGAACCCAACTGGCCCTCTTTGGGACGTCCCATTGTGAGAGTTTTCTTGCTCGGCGTTTCGACATTGGGCGAAAGGGGTGGGTGGAGGGGGGGGGTCCAGCTCCGTACCTCTGCTGGATGCGACTGTTTACAACGAGAGTTATGCTTAAGGGTGAAATGAATCTGCGTAGTGTATATGCGTATCGTGTTTGCGTAAGTGTACTTGCGTAGTGTATTTGCGTAGTGTATTTGCGTAGTGTAGTTGCGTAGTGTAGTTGCGTAGTGCGCTTGCGTACTGTATTTGCGTATTGTATTTGCACAGTGTGTTTGCGTACTGTTTTTACGTCGTGCTTTTGCGCAATGTTTTCGCGTAGTGTTTATCGCGCAGTGTTTCTTGCGTAGTGTTTATTGCGTGATGCTTTCGCGTAAAATTCTTGCGTCATGTTCTTGCGGTGTGCTTTCACGTAACGTGTTTGCGCGATGCTTCTGCGTTGTGTTCCTGCGCGATGTTTCTGCGCAGTGCTTAGGCGTGCCGGTCGGCGTGGCGTTTCGGCGCATTGTTTCGCGACGTGTTTCGGCTCGGACGCCTACGTAGGCGCGTAAGGTATTGGCATCGTGTCTCGGGAATGAGCATGATTTTGCGTACTGTATCTGCGTAGTGTATCTGCGTAGTGTATATATGCGTAGTGTATTTGCGTAGTGTATTTGCGTAGTGTACATGCGTAGTGTATTTGCGTAGTGTATTTGCGTAGTGTTTGCGACGTGGCTTGCGTGATGCTGTTGTTGCGTAATGTTTTCGCTTCGTGCTTCTCGAGCAGCTGTGTACAAATTCCTCCTGCCCCTCCTCCTCCTCCGAGCTCGCCGCGCGCCCGGCGGGGGAGGCCCGCGTCGTTCCTCCTCCTCCCTCCCTCCTCCCCTTCTTCCCCCTACCCCCCTCCCCCACCCTCCTCCTCCCCATTCCTCCCCTTCCCCCCCTCCCTCCTCATCCCCATTCCTCCCCCCCCCCTCCCCCCCTCCCTCCTCCGCCTTCCTCCCTCCTCCGTCCTCCCTCCTCCTCCCGCGTCGCCCGCGTCTCGCGCCAACTCCGCCCGAATGCCCCCCTCCCCGCGGCCTCGGGCCGCGAAACGCCCGAATGGCCCGAATGGCCCGAGGCCGCCATGCGAACCTTGCCACCGGGGCCTTCGGTGGAGCTCCCTGTGGGGCCGCGGAGCGTGTGAGGGTGTGCCGAAGTGACCCGAGGCCGCCGTGCGAGAAAACACTCGCGCGTAGCAGCGTTGCCGACTCGGGGCGTTCCTGAAAACACTACGCAAAAAGCACTACGCAGAATGCCCTCGTCGTCCGGACTTCGCAGGGCCGCGCCAGCCGCTGGAACGCACTGTGACGAGACCTCCCTGGTCACACACGTAGTGTGCGGATATAACATACTCACGCACGTAATGCATCTACGCAGTGTATTTGCGTAGTGTATTTGCGTAGTGTATTTACGTAGTGTATTTACGTAGTGTATTTACGTAGTGTATTTACGTAGTGTATTTACGTAGTGTATTTACGTAGTGTGTTTACGTAGTGTATTTACGTAGTGCATTTACGTAGCGTATTTACGTAGTGTATGTACGTAGTGTATTTACGCAGTGTATTTACGTAGTGTATTTACGTAGTGTTTATTTCACCTTCAAAATTTCTATTTCACCATTAAAATGTTCATTTCACCATTAACCACAACCGTCGTTTACAACAATGCGCCCTATTGGGGAGGCTCCACCTGCCCGAATCGGGCGCCAAAAACAGCCAAGAGCTACTCCACGGGGGGGGGGGAGGGGGGGTGCGAGGGGCCGCGCCGACCGGCAAAACAATGAATCAGACAACGATCACCAAGCCCCGGGCACTGTCTGGTTTCGTGCGTGCATTTCTGTCCAGGTGGTCCAGTGCACTCGAAGATGGTTCAGAGTTTCGGATGCTGGCCTCGCCAAGCGAAAAGTGCACGCGTCCGAGCGGTGCTGGGCCGAAGTGAATGTGTTAGTTCAGCGTCGTGGCTGCGTGCCTGTGCAGTTTTCTGATCCTCTGACCTTGGAGCGCCCGCGGCCAGCAGGTCCACAAAGCTCTGCAGAGTGCCCCGCGCCGAGCAGACAAGCCTCACGCCAGCCGTCCTTCGGGGGCGGCCAAGAGGGGGGTGTCCAAGAGGGGGGGTTGCAAATCATGGCTGGCGGCATGTGCGCGGCCCAGGGGGGGGGGCCAGGGAACGCATTGAAATAAAAAGAGGCGCCGTGAAATCTGGGAAAATATCATGGCCACCGCCATGATACCCCCCCCCTAATCATCACCCCCCTCTTTGCCGCCCCCGAGTCCTGCAGTACGCTGCGGCATCCATCGCCATCGCGGGCTCCATGCCGTCGGCCACCACCACCTCGGGAGCGTGGCTGTCCACGGCCCCCATGATGGCCGTCATCTGTGTCTCGCCTGCGGGCACCGACACGCGCCACGCAAAGCCCAACGACGGGTGTACGGCCGCTCCTCCGCCGCCCACCTCGCCTGCCTGGTCGATCACCACCACGGCGCGGTCTTGTGCCAGGAGCCGTGCCGCGTCTCGCAGCACGGTGGTCTTCCCGGAGCCGACCGCCCCAAGCACCACGAGGGAGCGCTGCGCGTCCGTGAGGAGGTCAGCCACCAAGCTGCACGCGCCAAGAATGGCGCGGCCCACCCGTATCATAACCCCGCAGACTTTGCCACTCGCTGGTGCACTCATATAGCTGATCCGGTGCAGAGAATCTCCGATCATGCCAGCGGCGCTGTCGCCGATGACGCGGACGATCGATTCCACATGCGGCGGAAGAACAACGATGCTAGAATCATCATGCAAGAACGTGTGCGATGCACCAGTGAAACCCTGGGGTCGGGCACCCACTTGAATCACAACGGACCGCAGCAACTGCCTAGCGCCTTGGAAGCCCTGGACGACCGCCTGAGAGATGAGGCCAGGTGGGATCAACGCGAAGACACTTTCGAGATCCTCCTGAACATCCAGGATCGGAAGCTGGCGCACCTCTGGGATCAAAAGCTGCCCTGCTTCTGCACAGTGCGTGTGCTTCCACACTGGCAGCTCGGTCACGCCCTCTTGCAATAAAGTGCGCTCCCCACCTACCTGCTCGAAGGTCTGAGTGGACATGTCTGAGAATGAGATTTCAGTTGTAAGTGTCCCAGGGGAGCACATCGGGTATGTTACAGGCGTGTCAGACAAATTATCTCCAAGCCGAATTGCCACCCGCCCCCCTCCCGACAAGCTTCTCTGCAGATCTGGACCTTGCTCGGAATCGATGCTACCAATAGGTCTTTGCGCAGCTGCCGACTTAGGAACCTCGTCCTCTGTTTGCTTGTGCCACGTCTGCCATGGATCACTTTCAGAGATGCTGGAGACGCCGCTGTTCGAAGAAGACACTTTCACATGCCATGGGTCCGTGCCACTTTGGAACCAAGGGTCGCAAGATGCAGCCAGGCTTCCTCTGCTGTCGCTTGCGACTGCCAACTGTGTCTGAGACGGCTGAAGCGCCGACCGATGATGTGCGGCAGACGTTCGCTCGGCACCACTGCTAGGTGGCGGCGGCAAGGCAGACTGTGGTTCCGCTTTCGTCAGCAACGGAGTGCTTTGCACGCTGATAAAGGACTGCGCGAGCGTCTCCCAGTCGCCAGGGGAAAGGAGTCGCCGTAGCACACGCGCGTACGCAGCGAACACAATGCTACGTGGCTCTGGCTGCGTTGTTGATTCGCAGCCCATCCACATACCGAGTTCTGCACGTCCGGATGCCCTTACAAAACGCATCACCTGCGAAAATGCGAGTGCACCAGTACATTTAGAGTTGCTGGACAGCTGCATTTGATCGAAGGCTTCCTGCATCACATTCTGTCTAGATAGTAACAGCTCGGGATGGATGGCCACATGTGCTTCCCATCTCTCGGCAGACATGGCTTTCGCCCATAGCGCCAGCGTCTGCTTCTCAGCCTCACTTGGCGTCTTCTGCTGCTTAGCTTGTACTTGCTGCTCGCCAGAGGTCGCCTTCTCCTGCTCCCTTTGCATGCGTAAAGCCAATTCCTTTGACCGCAGACGGTCGGTGCCTACCCACTCGTCGGAGGTCTCGGAGTAGCCGACGTAATGGATTTTGACTGGAGCTTGGGCACGCTTCTGCTTCATGGAAACCTCTACGACCTCGGCAAAATAGAGCTTCCCATCTCCAGCAAGCGCTTGCAGTCGCATCCCCTTTTCGAGTCCAGCGCGCTGCTGCACGTCTGCGGGCTGCTGCCGCTTCGCTGCTCGGGCGAAACTCGATGAAAACGTCACGCGCCCATTGGGGCCATCCAACACATCAAAGAGGTGGGGCCGGCCCGCAAGATCTGCTGCCGTGCCTTCGGCACGCTGGAGCGTGCTGCCCGTGAGCTGGCCTGTAGGGTTTCTGGTGGTCGTTTTCCGGGCGGGGCGCCCGTCGCAGGCGCGGTTCACTGTTCGCCGCCCCCGAAGACGGGCGCGGACCCGCCCAGGAGAGTTCCAAGAGGGCCACCAGACCCAACCAGACTGCAGCCTGGAAAAGCCCCAAGAGCACCCAAAGGCCACAAGATGCCCCCCGAGAAGCTCCGTGGGGTCCCCATGAGGCCCAAGAAGCCCCCAAGAGGCGCCCAAACAGGCCTCAGGCGAGGCCAAGATGCGTTACACAAGAAATGTCTGACAACAATGTTTCTTCGTATGCGAAGCTTTTCGGCTAAAGGTGCCCTCGGGGAGGTTTCACAGAGGCCCAGGACTTCCCAAGATGGCCCAAGAGCAATCCAAGACAGCGCAAGCCAAGAGATCTCCAAGATGGCTCAAAGACCTGCCCAGAGGCCCCAAGATGGTACTACCGAGCCTGTTCGGAGACGTCGGTCTAATCACCCTGCATGCATTTCGCGCTGGCACGGCGGCGGGGGTTGCCGCAGGCAGCTGGATAGCGGCCGAGCTTCCCCATTCCCGCAGTCGCTGCAGTCCCCCAGTGCAGAGCAGATCCGAGCTCAGGCATCCCGATGCTGCCACCGGCTGCCTGGATGGCACCACCGAGCATCATGTCGACTGGGCTCGGCCCTCCCCCCTCGCGGAGTCCGGCCTCGGCGAGGGCGAAGGCCATGCACGGGAAGTGTGCTTTGTCGCGACGCTGCATCACGAACTGCACGGATTTCCCCTGTGTCCGCGTCGTCCACATTCGCTTCACCTTTCTCTTGCAGGGGACGCTCTGCGGATCGAGTCGGTTGACGCGGACGTGAAGCCTCGTGGTGCGTGCCTTCGAGAACTCCTTCAGCACCCACAGTCTGCGGTTGCCGGTGATTGCGTGCCACTGGCCCTCGTGCTCCCACACGTCGAATGGAGGGAGCTCGTCAACCTCCAACTCCCCATCCAGCAGCTGACGCAGTGTGTCCACGAGTAACCTCCCGTCCCTAAATCTAACCTTGATCGTATCGTGGGACCACCATACGTTGTCTACTAGCAATCGCATCTCGTGCCTGTATGCTGTGAAAGCGTCATCATTAACGCTGGACTCATCGTTGGACGCATCGACATCAGGCTCGCTGGACGCTGGTCGCGCCGTCGACGTTCGGACTGTATCGCTGGACGCACCGTCATCGAGGGCTGCTCTGGCTCCCTCCGCGCCTTCGAGTACTATCTCAGCGGTGTTTGAAGAACTTACGCTCACGTGCATGCCGCCAAATCGCTCGCACATTCCTTTCATCCCTCCGACCTTAGTAACTGCGGCGCGCCACGCAGGGTTCTCAACGTATAATTTGCCTAATATGTTGCCGTGTGTACGCCCACCGGCTTCTTTCAGTAACGCAACCAGTCTGCACCGCAGCGCTTCAAGCTCTGGATCCATACTTCCGCCAGCAGCGTCTCGAGCAGACCCAATGCAGACGTGCTTTGGCATACCCTTGGAAGAAATTGTCGCGTCCTGGCCAGCCTTGGCGCTCCACCTGAAGGCATCCTGGTGTTCCTCGCAGAACTCGCGCAAGCTGCGCCCGCCACGGGTGACAATCCGCCGGCCCCCTCGTGGGGCAACCTAGCTGCGCGGGCCTGGTCTTCGTGCCAACAAATTGGCTTTTCATCTTAGCATTAGGTCGGGCATATCCTCCAATAAGCGCATCTGGGAAAATGGGAGATAATCAAAACACACTCCGAAATGGTAGAAAATCTGCCGGCCCCCTTGTAGGGCCACCAGGCTATAGGCCGAAGTGTGCTGCTCCCTGCACCAGTTGCAGTTTCACGTCTCCAATGTTACAGTCCTGCTTTTTGTTTCTTACTGTAGAATGTTTAAATCCGCGCGAGGGGGGGGAGTTCCCGGGGGGCGTGGGACACGTGCAAATACTTGTGATTGACGCCCCCGAGGCCATAATCCCACTTAAAATGTACAATGTTCGCGTCCTCGAGGCCACGAGCCCTCGTAAGTTACACCATTGTTGCGTCCCCAAAGCAGCATACCTGCGTAAATTATGCAATCTTCGCGTCCCCGAAGCCATAAACCCTTGCAAATTACGCTGTATTCGCATTGCCGAGGCCAAGAGTGCTTCAAGGCGCCCGAAGATGATTCCAAGACGGCCCAAGAGGGCCCCAAGAGCGCTCCAAGAGGCCTCCCGAAAGAGCGCCAAGAGGTCAACATCGTCGAGTTTGCCACAGCTTTTTGAAGAATTGTGACCATCTCGCATTTTCGCCTTTCCGACGCTCCAAGACGGCTCAAGTAGCTCCAAAGACCGCCCCAAGACAGCCGAAGAAGCCTCCAAGAGGGCCCCAAGACGGCTCGTAGATGGCCCAAGAAGCGCTCCGGCCCAAGAGGCCCCCCAGACGGCCCCAAGAGGGGCCCAAGTAGGGGACCACGAACGGACAATTCGATATTGTGCCCCGAGAAGCCCCCCGGTGGCCCCGAGAGGCAGCCAAGAGGCGCCCAAGAGGCCTCCAAGAGGCCGAAGAAGATACCCCACGAGGCCCCAAGAGGCCCCCAAGGAGCGCCCAAACCGCCTCCAAGAAGCTCCCGAGAGGCTCCCCACAACCCAGGCACGGTGGCGGGATGGGCCGAAGGCCACTAGGATCCGCCGCCCCCTGTCGATTCATCGCAGGGGCGCCTGGCATGCTAAACCCTCTCGGTTATGGTTTTCGTTATTTTTCCCAAAAAACTCCCCCTGGGGCTCCGGCGTGTCCCGCCGGCCACCTGGAAGACCCGGTTGCCATCGCCAAAAACGGCCGTTTCGCTCGGGACATCCTCCACAAATCGCGAAGATGGCCCAAGATGGCCTGCAAGATGTCTCCAAGACAGCCAAGATGGCCTCCAAGACGGCTAAGATGGCCCCAAGATGCATCCAAGACGGCCCAAGATGGCCCCAATATGGTCTAAGAGGGCCCAAAAGGTCCGCAAGAGGCCTCTAAGACGGCCAAAGAGGCCTCCAAGAGTTCCTCCAGGAAGGCCCGACGAGGCCAAAATCATTGATTTTCCAGTGGTTTTTGAAGGATTTTGACATTTGCGCTTTTCCGGCTTTCCGACGGCCCGTGACGGCCCCAGAGGCCGCCAAGGTCGCCCCAAGATCGCCCAAGAGGCCTCCAAGATGGCACTATGACGGCCCAAGGGGCCCCCAAGACGGCCCCAAGAGGGCGCCAAGAGGCCTCGAAGACGCCCAAGATGGCCTCTAAGACGGCCCTGGAGCACCCCAAGAGGGCCCCAAGTCGGCCCAGAAAGGTCCCCGAAACCGCTTCCGACGGCGTCAGACGGGCCAGGAGCCCACCAAGATGGCCGAAGGTGTCTCGCAGCTGGCCCAAGACGGCCCAAGAGGCCTCCAAGAGGGCCTCCAGGAAGAAAAGAAAAGGCCAAAAAGAGTTATTTCCTATAATTTTTTGAAAGATTCTGACATTTGCTTCGTTTCGGCCTTCCGACGGCCCGATACGGCCCAAGAGCTCCCAAAGATCGCCCAAGGATCGCCCAAGAGGCCTCCAAGATGGCCCCAGAACGGCCCAAGAGGCGCCCAAGACGGCCCCTAAGAGGCCCCCAAGACGGCCCAAGAGGCCTCCAAGACGCTCAAGATGGCCTCCAAGACGGCCCACGAGCCCTCCAAGACGTCCTCCAAGAAGGCCCGAAAGAGTCAAAATGGCTCCAGGCTGCCAAGATGACCTTCAAGATGCCCACGTGTTTTCCCGAAGGCTTTCCAAACCGATTCGGGCAACTCATGGTCCGATAGCTTGGCAGGTCTGGCCCTCAACGTTTGGCCACATAGGCGCTTCCACAAAGGCAGGGGGCGGCGGTGATTCGCCGTAGGCGTCTTCGATCCGCCGCCCCCTGTTGATTCATCACAGGGGTGCCCGGCGTGCTGAATCCTTTCGCGTTTGGTTTTGTTTCTTTTTCCAAAAGAACTCCCCCTGGGGCTCCGGCCCAGCCCGCCGGGGTCCTGGAATGGCCCGCAAAGCGCGGTTCCAAAAGGTTTTCCTGCTCCAGATGGCTCCCAGATGGCTTCCAAAATGGCCAAGATGGCCTCCTAGTTCGCCCAAGATGGTCCAAGATGGCCTCCAAGACGGCCCACGAGAGTCCAGGTTTCCTCCAAGTCCGCCCAAGAAACCTCCAAGACGGCCCAAGAGGTGCCCAAGAGGCCTCCAAGACGGCCCAAGAGGCCTCCGAGAGGTCCTCCAGGAGGGCCCGAAGAGCCGTTTTGGGGAAGTCCTGGAGCCGCCTTGTTGCATTGTAGGCGCCTCCTGGGGCCGACTTTGGGCCTTCGTGAACCATTCCGATGCCACGGAGGCCAAACCAGCATGTTCCTGCACGGCTGCTTGCCAGGGCGCTGCTTGAGCCTGGGCGCGTCCAGGCGTCTTTGGGGGCCTCGTGGGGGGCATCTCGGGACCTTGGGGGCGGGGGGGGAGGGGGCAGTTGAGCCGTCACGGGCCGGTCCCAGGGCCTCTCGCGGCCGCTTTGGGGCGGCCTTCGGCCTTCTCGGGGCCGTTTGTGGTCCTGCGGAAGGCGCCAGGTAGCAGAACGCAGGAGGCGAATTCCGATGAGGGTTGCGCGCTGGAAAGGGGGGAGCCCACAGAAAATGTCAAAACCTTGCCCTTCATCTAGGGGGCGCCCCTACACGCCCCAACGTGCCGCAGGCCGGGCTGCGCAGGCGGTCGCGCGCCCTGACGTTTCTGAAGATCGGCGCACCTGGTGTTGTTATTGCTACGTCGGCGCGCTGCTAAAGGCAAACAAATGCCGAGAATATGCAAAGTTGAGCGGGAGATACGTCTTCGAGTTGGCACGAACAGCATACAGTGCTAAGTTAAAGTCGGGCACGCCCCATTACAGGAGGAATATACAACTATAGTAAAAAATAATATGGGGACGATTTTTTTCTACCATAATGGGATCAATCAGAGTCGCGTCGGTGCCTCTCGGCGCTGCCTTAGCGCAGCTGGGAACATCATGCGGGCGCATAGGAATCATCAACGCATTTTGAGACGTCGGCGCCATCGCAGACGCCTACGGCGAATCACCGCCGCCCCCTGCCTTCTAGCATCGCCCATGTGGCCGAGCGTTGTGGCAAGAGTTCTGCCAAGGTATCGGGCCATGTGTTCCCCCAACCGTTGTGAAAACCCTTCGGGGAACACTTGGGGGAGGATGGAGGGAAAGATCAAGAGGAGGCGGAGGAAGAGGAGGAGGAGGAAAGGGAGGTGGAGGAAGAGGAGGCGGAGGAGGAGGAGGAGGAGGAGGAGGAGGAGCAGGAGGAGGAGGAGGAGGAGGCGGAAGAGGAGGAGATGGAGGAGATGGAGGAGGAGGAGGAGGAGGAGGAGGAGGAGGAGGAGGAGGAGGAGGAGGAGGAGGAAGCATCTTGGGAGCCTCTGGGGGCCTCCTGGGAGCTTCCCGGGAGCCGCTTGGAGGCATCTTGGGGGCCTCCTTGGGCCTCTTGGGGGCCTTTGGGGGCTTCTTGGGGGCCTCTTTGGCTGTCTTGGTGGGATCCTGGCCCGTCTGACGCCGTCGGACGCCGTCTTGGAGGCCTGTCTGGGCCGACTTGGGGCCCTCTTGGGGTGCTCCAGGGCCGTCTTGGAGGCTTCCTTCCCTGGGCGTCTTGGAGGCTTCTTGGGCCGTCTTGCGGCCCTCTTGGGGCCGTCCTGGGCCGTTCTGGGGCCATCTTGGATGCCTCTTGGGCGATCTTGAGGCAATCTTGGGGGGCTCTTGGGCCGTCTCGGGCCGTCGGAAGGCCGAAAAGAAGCAAACGCCAACATCCTTCACACACCAATCGGAAATCTATGATTTCGGCCTCTTCGTGCCTTCTGGAGGCCCTCCTGGAGGCCGTCGTGGGCCATCTTAGAATCATCTTGGGCCGTCTTGGTGGGCGCCTGGCCCGTCTGACGCCGTCGAAAGCCGTCTTGGGGGCCTCTCTGGGCCGACTTGGGGCCCTCTTGGGGTGCTCCAGGCCCGTCTTGGATGCTTCCTTGGGCGTCTTGGAGGCCTCTTGGGCCGTCTTACGGCCCTCTTGGAGCCGTCTTGGGGGCCTCCTGGGCCGTTCTGGGGCCATCTTGGAGGTCTCTCGGGCGCCTCTTCGGGCCCTCCTGGAGGACCTCTCGGAAGCCTCTTGGGCCATATTGGAGACCTCTTGGGCACCTCCTTGGCCGGCTTGGAGGCTTCTTGGGCGGCCTTGGAAGTATCTTGGACCCTCTTGGGCCGTCTTGGATACATCTTGGGCCGTCGTGGAGGCATCTTGGGGCCATCTCGACAATCTTGGAGGCCATCTTGGGCCATCGTGGCCGTCTTGGGGGATTTGCTTCGGCAAATTCCGCGCCTTCCGGGTGGCCGTCGAGACGGGCCGAAGCCCCAGGGGAGAGTTCCTTCAGAAAAAAACAAAATCAAAACCGAAGGGGTCTAGCACGCCAGGCACCCCTGTGGCAATCCAGCAGGGGGCGGCGGTTCGAAGACGCCTACGGCGAATCACCGCCGCCCACCGCCTTCTTGAATCGCCCATGTGGCCGAGCGTTGTGGCAAGAGTTCTGCCAAGGTATCGGGCCATGTGTTCCCCCAGCCGTTGTGAAAACCCTTCGGG